AATCTTCTTTGTTTATTAAAACGTTAGTTTTACAAATGTTTTCTCCGGTGTCATAAAACACATAGCGTCCGTCTGGGAAGGTACCAACCTGTACCTATTTTTGTCAGCAAGCAGCAGAGCTTGCACTCCTGTGTTCCGGTATGAAGGTCATAAATAACCAGTTAACTACAGGCTTGAGTCACCACTCATTACGATGGTGGTTCAAGCTGAGGTTCGTACCTCCTTCAGAGGGGCCCCCTTGAATCACGTCGAGCCCCCTCCTAACTTAAGGAGCCTCACTCCAAAATTAGGAGTCGGGGTGCCTCGGGACTGTAGACGGCAGAATCGTTGCACTCAATAGCTCGTGGGCCACCACTCACGAGTCTATTTCGACGAAGCTATAAAGGTCGCAGGGCCAACAGCATACACTTTCAGAAAAAACAAGCTGTGATTCATTCCATCTTAGTCCTCAGATGTGACAACTGGCTTCCAACAGATGGCTGTAAGTTAATTTGTTAAAATTTTGCAAAAATACAAACACTATTTCCATGCGAGATTTGAACCCTAGATCCGAAGCGCCTGCAACCCAATGCTTACTGCATCACGAAGCCGTTTTTTTTATAGAATAAGGGTGGCAAACGAGTACACAGTCCACCTAATGGTAAGTAGAAACTGTGCCCATAGACATCTACATTTTTATCCCCGATTACGAATCAAAATGCAGATGCGTTGTTACCCCTGAGAACTGAAATGGAATGCCTCGTTTCCAGTGGAAAAGGGTCTCCGGATACGTCTACAGACGGATGTCTACGGACACTTGTCATACGAAACACCGTAGCATTAAGCTGCTATTTCACGCTGGTATTATGTGAGAGCTTGGTCCTTCCCCGGTCAAGCCGAGCCATTTGTGCCACAACCATAATATAGTTGCAGCGTGGTTCTACCACGTGTAAAGTACTCTCACTTACCATACATATATATTAGCTCAAACCACATCTCCAGTTCAGGACATTCCTTGATGAGGATGATTTTGTTATGTTGGTTTGTTTTCGTCATCTTTGAATGGATTTCCTGCCATCGGTGGTTTATCGTATTTCACACAACACCAACGTCATTACAGACTTATTAACGTCCGTAAATCGAAAATAAGTTTAAACTGAACATTGTTAAGTCTTCGATCCGAATTTTAAAAAATTATTGACTTTGCATCGACATTTTGTTCGAGAAATAATCCAATTTAACGCCTTCCACAAAACGCTCATCTAACTTGGATTAGGAGGGTTACAATGTTGCGGCGCCGGGTCGAAGGTCTGAACCGTCGGATTTCATTCGAGCTAATGTCGTAGGATTTTCAGTGAACCGGAATAACCGTTGCCGTTTATATTTATAAAAATAATTTATAAGATAATAAATAAATCTTTATTAAATACTAAAGTACAAGTTTACAGTTTTAAAACAATTTATTAACTAAATTGAATGGATGTACCTGTCACATCTCATCTCTATCATATTCTCAAATTTATAAAACCTGGTTTTATGATTTTTGTGATTTTGAACTAAATCATTTTAAAAAACCAAGTGTAGATTATTTTCAAAATTTAGTCGCATTTAAAAAAAGTTGGGATACTGAGGAGTAATAAAAAACTGCTGGTTGCCAAACCGCGGCAAACCGTAGCAACAATTGCAAATACCCCCTCAATGAGCTAATCTACGGGGAGGCTTATGTTCAGCAGTGTATTTTTGATAAGCTGTGATGATGGTACATATTTTTATATATTTAATGTACCTACATAAAAATATAAAGTATGTTTTAAATCCTATTGTCATTCCATATCAGTCCATTTGGTTAAGTTCGGCCCTTCAATCGATATGAAAGTCCATAGCCTCACAAAGCTATTGACGCATGGTACTCGGAGTTGCACGTTCTTTCTACACGATTGACTTCACATAATATGCTATCCTTTAGGGTTGCCACCACTTGTAACAGAATATTTAGCTGTGTCTATTTTCGATTGCCCACAAACTTATATGTTTACAAACTTTTGAAGCGACAGTAGCCTAATGGCAGGGCGCGGATCGCGAACTCAAAAGGTCGTGGGTTCGAATCCGCCATTTGACTACTGTCGTGAACCACTCCTAACACAAGCATTTTCAAGCTTACCAGTAGTGGTTAAAAGGAATATTAGTAATGTTAATTAATATGATTACTAATATTTAAAAACTTATTAATTTTGTTTACACCCACTTAATTTACATACCCATTATGGGAAAACTTGCCTTTATCGCCACAAATTGTCATGCGTTTGAAGATCGCAGCACCAGAAGTATCACACCTTTGTCGCTTCCCGACGCCGGTCTGGGTATTTAAATCTGGTATATACGAGATGGTGTAACCACCTTTTATTGGAAACTATAAGATCTTTCTGACTTTCCACTTAGTTGCCATTTATAACACCAACGGGACAAAATGCGGTAATGGATTTTCTTACACTACCACCGCGTGGCTAGTAATAAGTATAACCATCACAAATTTAATTCAAAGTAGACGCTAAAATTTTTGCATTAAAATGTGTGCGAAATTTATAACTTAAATTAATCCCCAAATCCCGAAGAAATGGCAAAGTTTACATCCAAATGTTAACCAACATTTTAAGTGAAACATGCTTGTCGTTTCTTAATACTTCACACTCGACCTTTCCTGAGGACGTCACTGCTTTAATCAATATCTCCAAGTCGCCATAATAATCCCACTCTCTAGCTTCTGTGATGTTTACGCATTCTAGAAATATTAAATTGCCGCACATTTGTTTTTTTTTTTTTGTACATATTTTGAAGCTTATATAGAAAGCAAAGCACTGAATCATTGTGATATGTGATTTGTCAAAATCTTTTAAATTTGTAAATATTGATATTTAAATACATTTATCCATTTAAATAATTAAAGAATTCAACCCCTATATAGAACACGAACGATATTCATAACATAATGACGTCTACAAAGGTAATACTAAGAAATGAATGCGTGACGATATCGCACGAGATCGGTGACTACCCTCAAAAGCATTACTCATGCAAGTGTGGCCACCAATGTACTGATCTCATCGTGCGCATAATGAAATCGCCCTTGCGCCATCATTAAATATACGAGAATTGCACTTTGAGCAGTGTGCGATTAAATTATATGAAGCGTTGCTTGTGTACAGACGGGCGTAATAATGTGTATATTCTAGGTCCCTTAGGAGGTATGCTACAGTGTATTATGACTACAGCACAAATACGTCGACCGTACTCGTCCATAATGATGCTATGATTCGTATTCATTCACCATTCCTTCATTTCAGCCCGTCATAAGTCCACTGCTGAACAAAGTCCTCCCCAATAGATCGCCGATAGGCTTTTTTGCCATAGTATATTAGTTTTTTTGTTTCGTATGTGTATGGGTGACAAACTGGTGACGTTTTTATTGCATACATCTATCCTCTCTCATGATAAAGGCTTTTCTTTAAACCTGAGACTATCAAAAAACCACATTTTGTCATAACACCGTATATTAGTTTAGTTGTTAAATTTTGAACATTTCATATATCTGCTTACTTTTTATTTATTTTAGAGATATTGATTTATTGTTTTAATACTTTATTGTGATTCCCTCAAAATAATTTTATACAGATATATATTTCGGAATTCCTGCTACAGCTCTCTCTTCACATGCACTCAAGATATTGATTTTGTAGCTCACATTAAGAAGGGGCCGTAGCAACAGTCGTAGCCGACGGTTACGAGCCCGCTACGAGCCCTACCCTCATTCGTTTTCGCTGTATGTTAAGGAAATCTATATTATGTTAATTCAGGTCACTCGCTGCTTGCTATTTACTAATAGAACCAGCTCACCTCGTATTATTTTATAGTATTACAACATTTGCTTTAATTTCATATACAATCATATACAATATACTTTAAATCAAAGCAAGTTTTTAATATCTGCAATAAAAACGTTAATTTTTAATACGGATTTTAACTACGCAAGAAAATATAATTATAGCCACAAGTGTACGCACAAATAATGCGTCTTTTTTATCAAATAAAAGTGACAAACGAGCGACACATGCATAGTCCACCTATTGGTGAGTAGATGCTGTGGTCCATACACAGCTATTACATTATACTTTATTAAATTATACTCACTTAAATATCAAAACATTCGTCACCCCTTAGGACTAAGTTAGAATGCTTAGTTACCAGTAAAACTACACTCACCATGCGAAAGCAGTAAGCTGCTGTTAATACGGTGGAATTCTGTGAGTACGTGGTCCTTTCCCCGTGTAAATCCTATGAAACTGTTTTCAAGGAGAAAACACTGTAAATTAAAAACGTTTCTTCATATAAACTAATTATCAGTCAGGTTTATCTTACTCTAGGATAATATAGGATAGAAAATAGTTAAGTATTTGGATAAATTATTAACAATCGAATATTTTCATAATCAACCGATTACCACCATCAATACCGGAAACTGTTTGTGCTGTCGCACAATCTGCACTGTGATTCGAAATTAAACATCCGGCGTAATCTACATATCTTATAGATCACTAACGACTAGCTAAATACAGCGGGAAATGGTCATTAAAATACAATAATAATCCGAAAGATGAGCGCTTCCGTTCCATTTTTGTTTGATTCAAAGTCATTCCAAATTATTACACAAGGAGGTTTTCCCGGTCATTACTAGTTGTTTTGCGTGTTATTTCAACTACTGCGCCACGTATCTGAGATGAATCTTCAATGTCGTTTGTAAATTATTTTATCTCATCTGCATTGCAGGTATAACAAATTTCCTCTGATAAGATAGCTGACGAGTTTTTAAACTAATAAATATACGAGAAAGTGTTTGATTAGAGCAGCCAGTACTAAAGACTACTATCGTACCTGTTGTGAAATATACTTTGAACGTTGTGGTGTGTGTATAATCCATGTGTGCGAACTTACGCACATAGTTCAAAACAAAGTGTGTAAAAATGGCGATGGACACTATGGCAGTTGAGCTGCCTGACTTATCCACCCACACTCCACGCCCGATTGCAGAGGAGACGCCGGAGGAAAAGTGAGTAATGCATTAAACGATATCCGTGTTTATTACAATAATCTTAAATACTAGAAAAGTAATTTAAAAACCCCGAGTGCGTAAAACTTTTATAACCTATGTCACTTTTACAATTAAGGCAAGTTTTACGACATCCATATAGGTTAAAATCCATAAAGTAGTTATGGAAATCGGGTATGTGTGAGGACTTTTCAATTTTCCACGTGGACCTAGTTACACCGACTTATCATGAAGTGTCCTTATATTGATTGCATAATGCCTGAGGCATTAACTGCCGACAGTTTTGTTCTATAACAGTAATTGAAAGCGGCAGAGTTTCGTATAGAAAAATACAATGTTACACTGTAGTGCCTAAAGTAATTACAGTGTTGGTCACCTTTCAATTAAAACCAACAACAATTAGCAAGTGTCTACGTTATGATAAAACGAACAATATCAGTACATCTAGAATCTAGATAGTATACAGAATGACTTCATAGTAATAATAATTTTTATTTCAGATATTCAAATAATCCATACAATATGTTAGTAAATATAAAACATTAGCATAACTATCTCAAAGCGTTACCCTACAATGGGATCGTCATCCGTGTAGGTTCTTTAGGATATTTCCTAAGACGATTAGCCCTGGGACATGATAAAGATTTGTTAAATAGTTATTGTGGTGGGAGTCACACCTACCAGCTAAGTTATTAATAAGGTTGGAATCAATTCCAGTCTTGGTTTGTTAATGGTTGTCACTATGAATCCGTGCTAGAAAAGTTAACTTTTTTAAACGTGTAGAAGGAAGAGTACACGTGTGTACGTGACAGAGTCCCGCTGCAGTTACATTATAGTTAAAGCATGAATTGGTCGGGTCAACCGGGCAAAGACCACACTCTCACAGAATACCAGCGAAAATAGCAGCTCAATGCTTGCTTATTGTGTTGGAATTTTTTAATTTGGAAACGAGGCATTCAATCTTAGTCCTCAGGGGTGATCCTTAATCGAGGATGGATATAGATGTCCTTGAGTCACAGCTCCAACGCCGTTGTCACTTCATTCTATAAAAAAATAGGTCAGATTCTGAATAATAAACCTATATACGTTGCATATCTAATCTTATTCTTATAGTATCTATCCTGTGTTTTCATATAACAATGTTAAATCGCGTTGCTAGTATTCAGGTCAAGCTCGTTGTCAGAAGTGACAGCGCGGAGAAAAATGAGAGTTACGTAGTTTTAATATAACAGTAAAACCTGATATATTAAAGCTAATTTGTTTGTGAACGCTAGCATCTCAATGTTACGTGCATTCCTGGTCTAAATAATATATGTGCAGAAACCCAGCTGTTTTGTGAGTGTGGCTTTATTATTATCATAATGATTTTGAAAAAGGCACTATTAAAGCCGAGGAATTTATCAATTGATTTGTTAAAGATTCCTTCATCATGATGGAAAAACTTTCAACTGCTGTATCACTTCTGTCAACAAAAGCATATCATCGAAATATTAAAAGACATAGTATCGCAAGTGATTGGCGAGTTCACTTTGGAAAAGCATACGCGTTTTTTTCTTTTTTTTTTTCAAACATATTTAGCTGGTAACTGCATTATGTTTTAGACAATCCAGATGAGAATGCTGCAAATTATAAATTTTTATATTGTTATAATGATAATGATTGTTATAATGAAAATGTAATGCTGAAATTTAATTCCAACGTATAGTTGCTAGTTTTTGCAACTATTTCGTGCTAAAACAACATAAGACAAGTGCAGTTTTCTATATACGAGGTTTAAAAAATTTTATTCCAAGTTTGCAAATAAGTCCAAACACTATAATGAATCAAAAAGGGTCCTTGAAAATTAATTTACTCGTAAATGAAAAGTTTTATTGGTTCACGAAAAGTTCTGATTGTGTGACTTTGTGGTTTGAAAAATTACCGATTCAATTGTTCGTCTAAAATTCACGTTGCCAAAATTTAAGCGTTTAATTTTATAAAATTACTTCAACAATTAAAATAACTGAAATTTTTTGATACTTTTTCAACATTTACCGCCTTTTGTTACAATTTGCTAGAAAAAATGCTTTAAGGTCGTCAGGCATCTATAAAAATATCTATAACCGTAAAAAAATAATTAGTTACATACTTTTAGCTGAGTGTTTTGTTGAAAATGCTCGTAAAAATATTTGCAGACTGGTTTTGAAATTTAAATTGTATTTGTTCATGATTACACTCCTTTATTTTTCATAAAATAGAATAATTCGAAACAATGGATGTTGTGAAACGACTTTTTAAAGCTCATGAGATAAAATACAAAGGATTGTTTTAGGAGTTTTAATTTTATTTGTTTTACCGTCACGTACTTCGAATTTATCTGTTATTGAGCTGTGGGAATGATGACATGCTATTACTGAAACATTGTCTGTAACAACCAATAAAAGTATCTAATGTATCTTTTAATTATACACAGTTAATATTGTATGTAACTAATCTATACATATAATAAATCTGTAGAAAAATTATTTGTTCACGATTCACGCAAAAATTACTGGATGGATTTCCATGAAATTCGGTGTGTAAGCAGTAAATGATGGCGTATAAATAGGCAACTTTATATCCGCTTACGGAAGACTAAAAAAGAAGTGTTATGTGTTTTTTTAAGTTTATTGTTATTTTGGTTGTGGTGGTGCTATTAGTCATAAAGAGGATTTAGCTCTACGTATTACGATAAATAAGTCTAAAGAAAAGTGTGTGTTTGAAGATGAAACTCATCGCCAACCAAACAGGAAGGGTAAAATGACGTCTACCGGGCCAGCTAGTGAAGAAGTATAATATTAATCATTTCATTAATACAACCGTATTTGTATCTGTACCGTACACTGCTAAACAAGTTGCCTCATTAGAAGAATATTTGCCTTAGTAGCAAAGCTTGGCAGGCGATTTGGCAACAGCAATTTTTTTTGTATCTATTATTAGGAATGGATGGTTGCTGTCCACCTCCTGGTTTGTTTCGCTCTGTCTGTTAGAACGGCGCCCATGGGACGATATGAAGAAAAACATTTTTCTTATTTTTTTTTGTTCTTTGAAATCAGTTTTTACTTTATATTAAAGTGTTAAGTAATATAACAAGCTCAAGGTAACAATTAGAATGTCTTTTAAATATATAGTTACATTAAAAACCACAATTGACAAAATATAATCGCTTAGCATACATACAAAAAACATACAGTCGAATTGTGAGCTTCCACCTTTTTCAAAAATTTTTTTTTTTGTTTTTGCTTTTATCAACAAAGTTTTTTCCATTTGCCTCGGTTAAAGTGAGTAAGGTTTATCATTTGTCTTAGCAGAATGTAATGAACGCGCATCTGATTTAAAACAAAGGATAACATTTTTTACACCACATTGATCTACTGTTTGTGACTTCTTTTTTAACATGGAGTCAAGGTTTTTTTTTTCAGGTTTTTTACGTGATAGAGGCACGCTGCAGGTATACGCTCGTATTATAGCTGTAGCACGAATGTGTCGGCTCGACCGGGGCAAGACCACACTCTAAGAGAATACCAGTGTCAAATAGCAGCTTAATGCTGCTGTGCTGCAGTGTAGAGAACCGGAGGCTTACTTTAGAAATTTAAAATCTTTCAATCAGAAAGATCTTAAATCTCTAAAATAATTAAAATCTCCTTTTATCATAGTCTTATGTTTATATGCGAATATAATACCAGCAGGAGATGACGTGTGTACAAAAACAACTGTTGTGTAGACCCGACCAGTATAATTCTAATCTGTGGCATTTTAGCCCATACAGGGTTGTAACGCACATGGCTTTTATCAAAGTTGAATGTAATAATATCCTCCAGACTAAATTTCGGCCACGGCGGCCAGTCTCTACGTAGACTAAACGTCTGCGACATAAAATCTAGATCCCGTTGTAGAGAACACTATAATCCCGTCAAAACGGGATTTTCGAGTTTTCATTCCTCCCTAAATATTAAGAATAAATTGATTTGATAATCGATTCTTGACACACATGGATTATTTTTCAGAATTCAGTCTAGCAAAGTATATACATACATCCGTTTTATAATACCTATAACCGTCCCGTTAAAAAATCCTTTAGCCGTTAAACACAATTTTTTCCCGTTGCCAACCTCACTGACCCGTCAAATCTAGCGGGAAACCCGTTAAGTTGGCAACACTGGTTATAGTGCCCGAGTGCGGCGCAAGCACATATGCACCCCCCGTTCCCTCACTCTCATAGTCCGATGGAACGGTAATCCGACACGACCGGAAAGAGACCTACGGCTTTGCGTGCTTTCCGAGGCACGGGGATGAAAACACCGCCAACTTCCTGACTCCGGGCTGCTACTGAGAATTTATTTATTTTATTTAAAAACTTACATATAACACCTTAAGCTAAAGGGTACATAGGGCGGACTTAATGCCTTGTGGCATTCTCTGCCAGTCAACCCTGGGTGCCAAGGACAATTGTTGGCAGGTGCGAGCATTATACGTAAATAAGTGCATATACATTAAAATATACGCATATATAGTATAAATATATGTACTATAATACATATATACATATATATATATATATATACATGCTTATAAACTTCGTAAATAAATATCCAAATAAATGATATATATAATATAATGTTTGAATAATATATAATGAAATAAATATTTAAAGTAAAAAAAGAAGAAAAGAAAGATAAGAATTAAGGAAAAATAATGTCAATTAGTAGTTGCCTTCAAGTAATGTTCTCGGAGAAGAACTTTGAAGACTTTTTTATTTGCGGCATTCTTAATATCGTTGGGGAGGGTGTTCCAAAGTTGTATCGCTTGTATCGTAAAAGACGAAGAGAATTTCTTGACAGGAAAACGCAATAACTGATTTTAGCTCGACCCGGGAATCGAAACCAGGACCTCGTGATTAGCAACCGCGTTTACCACTACTAGACCAACGAGGCGCTCAAGTTGAGTATATCTAACCATGGACTGCAATAGATCATTAAAAA